AAAAAAAAAAAAAAAAATCATCACTGACTGTGGAAACTTGACACTGGACCTCAAGCAACGTGTATTCTGTGCCTCTCCTCTCTTCCTCCATACTCTGGGACCTTGATTTCCAGAGGAAATGCAAAATTTACTTTCATCAGAGAACATAACATAGCATAACTCGGCAGCAGTCCAGTCCTTTTTGTCTTTAGCCCAGACGAGACACTTCTGATGCTGTCTCTTGTTCAAGAGTGACTTGACACAAGGACAGCTTGCGATAGCTGTGTCTTGCATAGGTCTCTGTGTGGTGGTTCTTGAAGCACTGACTCCAGCTGTAGTCCACTCCTTTGTGAATCTCACCTATATTTTTGAATGGGTTTTGTTTCACAATCTTCTCCAGGGTGATGGTATCTCTATTGCTTGTACACTTTTTTCTACCACATTGTTTCCTTCCCTTCGCCTCTGTATTAATGTGCTTGGACACAGAGCTCTATGAACAGCCAGCCTTTTTAGCAATGACCTTTTGCATCTTGCCCTCCTTGTGCAAGATATCAGCGGTCGTCTTTTGGACAACTGTCACGTCAGCAGTCTTCTCCATGATTGTGTAGCTACAAAACTAGACAGAGACCATTTAAAGGCCTTTGCAGGTGTTTTGAGTTAATTAGCTGATTAGAGTGTGGCACCAGGTGTCTTCAATATTGAACGTTTTGACAATATTCTAATTTTCTGAGATACTGAATTTGGGGTTTTCCTTAGTTGTCAGTTGTAATCATCAACATTAAAAGAAATAAACATGAAATATATCAGTCTGTGTGTAATGCATGAATATAATATACAAGTTTCACTTTTTGAATGGAATTACTGAAATAAATCAACTCTTTCATGATATTCTACTTTTATGACCAGCGCCTGTATAGTGGATACATAGAATCTAAAACTTTTTATTATGTAGTCATTACAGTAATTTAAGTTATTTTTATTCCAACAATATGAAAACTTCAAATGCACTTTTGTAAATTACAAAACGTTATGAGCTACGTAGGAACATTAAATAATTATTTTTCCGCAACAATGCGAAAATTGAATACATCAAGGAAGAGAAATGATCCAACAGCTGCAAAACAGATGTTTAAAAATGTGGAAAAAAATTATTTATTTTGTGACCTGTGAAAATTGGGTCAGAGTTGTTAAAAAGCAGTGTTGTAGTCACTTAGAAAGGAACAATTTTAAAACCATTGTACCTCATAAAAACAACTTTGATTCAGCACTACAATACTATAAACAATACAACTACAATATGACATGCAAAATTTCAGCTAATGCAGTCTGAAGTGTGGTTTGCCCAGAATTTGTTTCAGTCCTTCTCAATAAAAGTCTCAAACACACACCGAGTGCCTCAAAACTTTAAAGGTAAAAAAAAAAAACCTATCTAATTTGTTGCTTGGTTCTAATACTCTTTCATACACAACTCCAAAAGATATAATGTAATGTAGATGGCACAAGTTAAACCTAGCTGCTGCTGAATTTACTTTTAAAGTGGATAGTTAAGAAAAGTTTAAATTTTCTTCCTCAAAATTGTTACGTAGGCATTACAACATCCAATCATAGACATTTTAGTTAAAATAATCAGAAGGTGATGATGGAAATCTGTGCTAATTAAACTGAGATGGTCTAAAAAGCTTCAATTACGATTCATCAGTTACACTAAAAATCTTTTTCAAAAAAGTCACAAAGTCTGCAACTGTCGGTAATCCCATCTTTGTGTGGCATCAAGCAGAAGCTCGTTTGGTATATTCATACATGTTATCACTAATAATTTCCACGTTTCCTCTGAAGCAGACAGCTGTGCTCATCTTTTCAAACTTTATCTTTATAAAGAATAAAAACGTCAGGTGTGAGGGAAATCATTTTAGCTTTGCGAGTGTCAAAATTTCATCAGTTGATTTAGTCTTTAGGATACAGCATTCTTTTTTTTCCGTGAGTAATGGGACATAAAAATCAAATGTGTCAATGAGTTGAGAAGCAAAATAATAATAATGATGATAATATTAACTTGACTGGCTGATGGAACTGTTTTGTTCAAAACTTTATTTTCACATTTAATCCACTTTGTGTTTAATTTAATGTAAGTTACTCGGTTATTTAGTCTCGACTTAAAATAAACATTTAGGTATTAAGTATTTAGACATCAGGGCTTATTTTAAGGTTATTAATTTGCGATGTATATCTAATAATGTTGACAGGTCCTCTGGATGGATTCTTCTTTGTTGAAACGTTTCGTCTTTTATCAAAAAATATTTCTTCAGTCGTCTGATGGATAACAGACAAAAGATTTTAACAAAGAAGACTCAATCTATCTGGATTATTGAGCATGCATCAGGACAAAATATGATAAAAAAACAAAGACAATAAAAGCAGTCCAACAGGACTTTTAAAAACATGCTTATTATTATTTAAACAAGTGGGCTAAAGTAAAGTGAAAATTATGTGACCGTTACACAATTTGCCTTAGAAACAAACAAAACATGTAGACTTATACGAATGTTAACATAAAGCTAAGTATGGGCCAGTTTGATGACATTGAGTAAAAATATGATTTCAAGGTATTATAGTAATTTAATACAAAAAAATGAAAATGCATCACACGATTGTTTGAAAACAAATGTAAAATTAAATATATTGTGGTGTAAGCGGAAACACCACAGTCAACAGGCTGTTTAATTTATTTTTAACTATAGTATATTCATGATCCTAAAGTACATTCTTGTATGCAAGTTGTACTTATATTACTTTTCTGCTGTTCTGCTTTTTGTAAAGTAACTTTGAGAGCCTGACGAGGTGATTTTAACCAATACCGTACTCTTCGGACTATAAGGCGCACTTAAGATCATTTAATTTTCTCAAAAATCGACAATGAGCCTTATAATCCGGTGCGCCTTATGTATTAATGCTGGTTGTGCTTAATGACCTCGAACCAATTTTATGTGGTACACGGCGCTCAAAAATCTGTCAAAATGAACTTGTTTCGCTTAATGCGCTATAATCCAGTTCGCCTTATTGTCTGAAAAACACTGTACTTAAATTGGCTGTTATTCTCCTTAGTCTATTGTGTATGACGCTAACATGCTAAGTTTTGTAGCTTGTTGCAAACGTTTGTTTCAGACAGAGTTACACTGAAAAGCCAGACGAGTGTTGCTCCTTTGGTAGAGACCCATGGCTCGCCGTGTTATCTGCTGGTCAAAATGCACAACCAACTAACACCGTCTTTTTAAAAAGTATACAGTTTAGGAGGTTTCCTGCCTCGGCTGTTGTATACAGTAGATTTGACAGCTTGCAGCAACTTTTAGGAGGGGGGAAAATAAAATAAAAAACAACACTTTGTCTCTAATGTCTTAATAAAATGTATTTAAAAAATGTAGAAATGAC